ACATGTAGAGCAATCAAAAGAGAGATTATGAGAAAATTGATCTTTATTGCACAACAAACCAGAGTTCAACCAATGAGACAAAACAACAAAATTCGGATGACTCAAACGTTTGTGCCATATTTCACTCTTATTGTTAACATTCATACAAGCCAAAGATAAACAACTTGGAATCGACTAATGTTGCGGAAACAATCTTCCACTTTTAGGCCCCTTGGCAAGTATCTTCCCCTATACTTGATACTGCACAAGACAACCATCATGAGAGAAATGAACATCACAGTGGTTATCAACTAACTAACCAATCGAAATAAGGCTTGTAGAAAGTCCATGGGATACAAAAACATCTTTGAAAGATGGACTAATAGCTCTAACAACATTAATAGTTAAATGACTTCCAATAGGAATCTGAATATGTGATGAACCATGATACTTAAGAATATTTTGAAGAATTTTAGATAAACTGGTCATATGATTGGATGCACCAGAATCAACAAGCCAAGATTGAGATGAAGTATTACCATTAACTTGAAGTCCTAATGTTGAAAAGGCTAAAACAATCATTTGCTGTACCATTTTAGGAGTAAGAACAGATTGTCCAACAACAGGAGAATTGTATGAGGACATTGTTGGAGTGAAAAAAGAAGCGTTGATTGTGGCCCGATAAACATTAGCTTGACGATTATGAGGTTGAGTAGGAAAGTCCTTGATAATATGACTTTGTTTCTTACAGTAGTTACAAGTTTTCTTCGCATAGTTGGCAGCAATATGCCCATACTCCTTACCGCTAAGACACTGGACTTTGTGCATATCTCGACACTTCCCTTTCGCTTTCTCTTGAGTTATATGTAACGAGATCATTATTAGATATCATTCGATCCTGCTAGAAAGTAGCCTGTGTGAGAAGGCACTTCTCTTCGCGAATCAATTCTTCAAAATAGACATCCAAGGATGGAGAAGGATCCCGATTCATCAAATTCGAGCGAGTAACCTTAAATTCAAATCTCAATTTAATCAAAAAATGATCTCTTTCTTTGCTCATGAACTTCCTGAACAGTCGAAAGAGATTCAGTTGACACCTGCGTGTAAACCATGCCAGAAAATTCTGTTCATAAATTTTGAAAACTAGAAAAATAATCTTGAATGGATAAATTGCCCTGAAAGTGTAACTAGCAATCTCATAGTCTCATACTCTAATTAAAAACGTCTTGTGTTATCTTGATTATGAACCTTTTTCAAATACTTTCACATGGTTTTAGCAGCCTTATATGGCCTCAAATTGAGAACAATAAGAGGATAAATAGGCTGTAAAATCCGTGTCATCACACAGGCATCTTTGACGTTCCATTGAGCTAACTTTGTAGGAGCTGGATCACTTCCATTGATATGGTCTCACAAATCTTTTTTAGTAACAAATAATTAAATCTAAAATTCCCAAGCATAGTAGTTTTTATCGGTGAAACGTACACCGAAAGAGTCAATGTTTTGACATGATACTCAAATGTCAGCAATCCACAACATAGCAAGACCAGGAGTGTACCAATGAAAACAGTAAACTTGAGACACCAAAAAAACACTAGAAAATTGAGAAGTTATCAGTAATTCACAATGCAACAACCTGTAAAATTTCAACAACACAACAACAACAGAGATTTTTGACAGGCAAGAAGGCTAATAGAATTCACCCAAATAAAAGAAAACTAACACCAAAAAGGGAAACTTGCTTAATCCCATAATCAAAACCACTCGAGAGAAATGCAAAAAACTCTAATTTAAATTTTCTAGCTTTGATATCATGTCTCTCAATGAGAGACTTTTCTCCATTAAATAGAAACTCAAGAGCCTAATACAGGCCTAAAAATGTTATTTATAGTTCTCAATCTAACTAAATATAGAATACAATATTCCCAACTAATTACAAATATTGATAGTTAATATACAAAGGATATGCCATAAATATATATAGTAAATATGGATAGATATGTGTTGGCAAGAAGTCTATGTCAGCATACATATTCGAGTGACAAGAGCAACCTCAAGAAGATGGCAGTTTTTTTGCTTGACAATATCATTTTTTTGGGGGTACTCACAAGTGGTTTAAAAAAATGCCACTCTCGTTGAGGTAAGAGCGAAAATTTTCATTAATGTACCTAGTTCCATTATCACTTCGAAGGACTTTGATTTTGGCATAAAATTTGATATTCACTTGAAAAGATCGGAAGTAAGAGAAATCTTCACTATTAGTGCATAGTAAATAAACCTAAGTAGGACAACAAAAACAACTAATAAAAGTGACAAACCAACAATACTTGATAGAGATGCAATACGGAAGGTCCCTAAACATCAAAATGAATAATAACAAAAGGAGCAATGCTCTTATTATCAGTACTAGGATAAGGTGAATGTTTATGTTTGGCAAATTCAAAAGTATCACAAATAAATAATTGTCTATTACACTGTTTCACTAGATTGAGAAAAAGATGTTCTAAGACAAATTGAGGGATGCCCCAAATGTTTGTCCCACTGGTGTAGGAGTTAAAGGGCCAACACACCATCTGCTTAGAAAGCTTGACAAGTAGACTGAGGAGAAGTTTTATTGTTCAAGAGATACAGATCATCATATGCTCTACTACTGTCAATGGTTTTCCCATTCTAGTTCTTGAAAAGTACAATGACTAGGAAAAAAAAGTCACTAAACAGTTTTTAAGATTTTGTTAATGCTATTAACAGATAATAAGTTAGTGGAGAAATTTGAAACATGTAGAATAGAGAAAAGGGATAAGATAGTTGAGCAATTAATTAAAATTTTTTCAGAATAGATGATAAAGATCTTTCTGTCACCTTGACTTTATTCCTACTAGAACATGTAGAGTATGATGAGAAAAGATTAGAAGAACATGTCATGCGGTTCGTAGCTTCAGAATCTATTATTCAAGGAGTATATGAGAATGACACATTAAACAAACTAGGAGATATAACTATATGAGCAAAGTTTGAAGAAGAGACATGATTAGGAGCCATAGTAGAAGAAACATCAAGCCAAGAGTTTGCATTTCATCCTGGGACAAAGTAGGAGTGGCCATTAGACTGAGATGGAGTCTCTGAAGATTCAGTCATATGTGTGTAGTACATTTCCACCTTGGCCTCCATTTTGGCCACCACCACTCCCATGTGTAGGACATCTAGTCACTTTTCAACAAAACTCCCTTGTATGCCTTGTCTTCTCACAATAATCACAATTTAAGGTATTCTGGGCACTAGTGCCACTCGACTCAATAGACTTGGACTGCTCTGGAATTTGTGTATGAACCATAGCAATCTTCCTACTCTCTTTTTGTTGAATATGATCATAGGCTCCTTGTAGGGTAGGAAACAGGCTATGATCTAAAATTTGAATTCGAATATGATCATATTCAATGTTAAGGCTCTTGAGAAAGTCATGCACATGTGCTTTCTCGACCATATGTTGAAATTTTGTAGCATCATTAGCACAATCTGTCTGGAAATTCTGATAGTAGTCAAGCTCATTTCACAATGTAATGAACTCTGCATAGAATATTGCAAGGGTCTTATCCTTCTGGTTAGTCTACCTAATATTCTTCCAAAGATCATATGTCTTAGCATTATTACCCCTTTGAGAATATGTATACCACAACTGTCCAAATCTTATGAGTTGTATCAAGTAACAAAAAATCACAACTGATAAGAGATGCATTAAATTAAGTAACCACGACATCACCAAAGCATTTTCAAATGTCCACTCTTGCAGTGGAGGAACAGACTTAATGGGCTTCTTAGTTTCCCAAGATGGCCTAGACCGATAACAAACTAGCTTGTGACTATGCTAAATAATTGTGCCCATCCAATTTCTCTGAACTAATTTTGAGAGAGGGATTATTGGCAAGAGTGCCTAAATGGCTCAACCCATGTCCTATCGTACTCCCTCTAGCAGTAGTAGAGGTCACACTCCTGTTTGACATGTCCACAAAAAAAAAAAAAAAAAGAAATTACGAGAAAAACACGACCGAAAAAAATTGTCCTTAATCAGAATAATGCCTCAATAGTCCCAAGAAGCTTCAATAGTAGCTATCAAAGCAAAACACTAGTGGCCAGAGTAGAAAAAGGGCCAATAGTAGCCAAAACAAGTTGGTGGTAGATATAAGGGCCAAAAACTACACAAATTTGATCCAAAGTGCTACAAAGACAACTGGGTAACAAATATCTACCCTAGTCGAGGCTCATAAGACAAATTTGAAGCAGAAACAACCCTTAGAGTACTCAAAGAAGCCAGATCTAAGGTGAGGAGTGTAGTTGAGACTCCAAAAACCATAGAAATCATCCCAAAACTCAAGGATCTTCAACAAAACTATGGGTGATGTAGCGCCACCCTATTGGCACCTTATACAGTGAGATTGAATCAAAAAATAGTTGAAATCTCCAAAAAATTGTAGATCTAGAGTTCAAACTCAAAAATAATCAAAAATTTTCAAAAATTCGAAAGTTCCTTCCGATGATTTCAAAAAATTCCAAGCAAATCACCATAAAACTTAGCACATCGATTCAATGAATCCAGGAAAATCTCGCAATTTTTTGGCATATTCATGTCAGAGGCTAACATAAGTAGCCAGAAAAATAACTTCAACAGCCAGAAGAATAACTAAAATTTTACTAAAATCTACTCAAATTGATACGAATTCTCTTAATACACTAAAATTGACTACTTTGAGACTTTAAATTTGGAGCGTTGCTCTGATACCAAGTTAAATTGTTGAGTAATTAGGGTTAGGAAGAGAAAAAGATTAAGAAGAAGAAGAAAGATTAAGAGAAAAGTATAGTGTGTTGGGGTTACACAACTACATCCTATTATATATATAACCACTGATTATCAAAATACACCACTATGCTAGGAATATATGACATAACATTCTTTTTTTGATTGGTAACTTCTCATTTGTTTTCTTTCTTTATTTCAAATGCACTAATGTATTTGGTCTTATTGGTCAGGGTCGATTCAGTCTTATAGTTGCTTTCTCTCCAACTGGTTGGACTTTTGGTAAAGGAAAAAAGAAGTCTCCAGGAAGAAGGTGGCAACAGGGTACTATCATAAGGTGATCTTTTAGTTTTTTTACTTATGCAGCACGATAATTTTAGAAACATTCCAATTATCTACTTTTAGAAATATGTAACTGGGATAACTAGGGCTACAGCTAGACATAACTTGCTAGGGGAAATGCCACGATCTTGAGCTCTCACCAAGCAATAACAGAGGTCAAGAATTCGTATCAAGTACTTGTCAAGTGGCCAACCTGCGGCAAGCTGATTTCTTGTCCTGTTGTGATTGATGTTAAAGGGTTTAATCAAATGTGAAGGAGAAATGCTTCTCGTTTTGATAGTCCAATGCTTTGACTTTATTGATTCACTTGTCGTACTCTTAGAGGCATATTCTGTTTTCAAAACCTTGGCCTCCTTTTATCGTATATAGAAAATAGATTACATAATCTTGTTCCAAAACATTGGGTTCCTCTTTTCTGAATCTAAAATATGGTAACCAAAGAACCCTCAATCATTTTTTGATTATTATAGTTGGTTCTTTCTTCTGATTTCTATTTGTTTTTGCACATGGTACTGCAGCCACCAATAGACCGTCTCTCATGTTTGTATCCAAGTAGATACTTCTGTGGTTTTTTAACAAATGCAGTATGTACAAAATGACCACTTTGGCTTTTGTTTGGCATCAAAATGTGCATCTGCTGTTGGTTGAGACAGAGAACCTTATACAGTTAAGTTGTCAATTTTGTGCATAAACGGATCGTGTGTTGCTTTGGTATGCGGTGCGCTACATATTCCGATACGCGATGCGATTGTGTAGTCTTACTTAGTATGCTGTTTTGAGTGGTGTTTTGTTGTCTATATGATTACTTTCTCTATGATACGAAATTATATACAATTATACAGTCATATACACTTAGTTAATTAGTATTTATTTTGGGGTTTCTGTTACAATTTGGGGTCAGGAAATTTAAGTGATCTAGATCACGAACTCACTCCGTTTTGGGTCATGCGACTCCGATTTGTGGGATGGTAGGAGTATTTATGATCCCGGTATCTATGTGCATTGCAACAGGTAACTGTATTCATGTGGCCTCTTTTCAGCAACTATGCCTTCCTCTCCATCTGTTGCAAACTAGTTTATTTGGGCTAGCTTATTAGTTCTGTATCCTTTGATCCCCATTATCTTTTAGTAATGTAATTTTGTGTTTGAACAGTCCTATATTCAGCCTTAATCAGAACTTTTGGGTTGGGTCCAGATAATTGTTCCCTAGTTAGTACAGTTATGTATGACCATACCTGAGTTTGTCTTTTATCAATATATTTTGAGTGATTTGCAAAAATAATATGTTACGAAAAATATTTTCAATCTAACACTTACAGAATAATTCTTGCATCAACTGTTCTTGCCCATGTCCCATCTTTTTGTGGTGTAATTCATGTCTAGAAATTATTTCATTAACAAAGCAAATATTCAATATGGGAATTATTTAGTGGAATGTGTTTGATTGGAGACATTTTTCATAAAAAATGTTATTTTGGCAAAAATATTATCTATTTGGACCAATGTTACCTCGATCGTGAGTCACTTTGGTACGTGATGCAGGTACGGGTACATGGTACGACACTTTTTTAAGTACGTGATACGATGAGGGTGGGTTTAGCTGGTACGGTATTTTAGGTTGCAATTCGTTTTGGAACTCTTATGTAGATTATTTTTACTGTTATACAACATTATATATTACAAAACATTCATAAACACTAAGTTAGTTACCATTTATTTTATAATTGTGCTTGATTTTCTATTATCAAAAAAAATATATAATTATAAATCTATATACATGTAGTCAATTAATATGTATTTTAAATAATGTTGTGTGTTTTGAAGCGAATTGATTTAGGGTTAGTATTGCAATTTGGGGTCGTCAATTTTGGTGATCTAGATCGCGAATTCACGTTTTGGATCGATGTACCTAGATCGTGGGTCGTTAAAGGTTTAGTGAATTGTGGTAACCATGATTTGGACATCTTGATAATGTGGATTGTTTTCCTTCTCTCCAGGTATGAAGTGCCATACAGTGAGCATTGCAGCTTCACAGAACTTAGAGAGTTCGTCAAGTTCATTGCTCCGACAAACATTATCCCAAGTGTAAATAATCATGGGGCAGAATCGAGCAGCACGATGGTCTCTCTCCTATTGTCTTGATTTGGTGACCGAAAAGATACGTTGGCAGGCACAGGTGACAGTTTTCACTGTGTCTTGCTAGAGATTTGTTGTAGTGTTCTTATGAGTAACAAGAGGGCGAACATGCGGTAAGTATTTTATTTTGTACTGTACTGCTGGCTTGGTAACAGTTGTCGTTGATGAAGAATGGATTGGAAAATGCACAAGGTGACATTAAAGTTTATACATGATTTCCTTTAGCCCAGCTAAGTATACAAGGGAACCTTTCTTTTGTGGAGTCTTTCTGATTGTTACCCAGCTCCAAAAGATCTCAATATAAACTCCAATCAGATTGGAATCATTTTTGCTGTGTTATATATGTCTAGATGGACTTTGTTACACCTGTTTTAACAGTTAATGACATATTGCACGGCGTGACATAGTAACAAATAAATGGTAACTTACTATGAATAGAAAATACAGCTTTTCTATTCTAGAAATATGATTCATGTATCTGCCTCTAAGACCCCAAATTCTCTGGAAAACGCTTGCTAAATTGAGATGAGTTGATGCATTGGCCCGAGAACAAGTGGATGTTGGTCTAGAGGTTGAGGTCCATCCTATATTGTGCTAGATGAAGGGTCAAGCGACTCAAGCCTCACCCCTTTGTTAGGATCCCCTTCCCCTCTCTTAAAACAGTGGTTACAATGATCAAACACTATTCGACAAAGCTTCAACGACTGAAGTCAGTCTGCTATCCACAAATATTCGATGCAGGGCAGTTGTGAGTCAATTTGATTGATCTGCCTTGAAACAATGCAATAATTGTAAATAACATTGTATTTCTTTATTTATTTTTTCTATAGTCAGTGAAAGCTTGTCATACCTAGTATTAAACTCTTTTTGGGAAATCAAAGAAATTTTTTTGGCGTCATGTTTGTCAAACATGTTACGACTTTTATATAAGTCATTTTCTTTAGTTTGAGATATTTTTTTGGAATCGTGATGTTAAATTGACACCAATTCATTTTCTTTAGTTTGAAAGCTTTTTTTGGAATCGTGCTGTTTAATTGACACCAAGATTGAAACACAACTTGACAGCATTATTAGATTTCCATAGAAAAAGTTCAAAATTATTTCGGTTTGGCAAAGAAGTCTCTTAGAAAGTAGTTTCAGTGAAACAGATGGGGAAGTGGGTGAATGTGGGAAAGAAGATGAATTAAGGGCCAAATGTTAAAAACCAATTTTGCCACCATCTGCTCATTTTGTTGCCAACTGTACACTTTTCTTGATTATATTTTCCGTGTATGGAAATGATAAATTTAGCAAAGGTCCAAGGTACAGTTCAACAAAGTAATTGATTGCACAACCTTTTCTGTATAAATAGCAAAACCATTATTAGGCCAAGACGTGTGCTTTTTCTCAAGCAATAGACAGTCGAGGAGTAAAACTCTCCATTGTAATGGACTAACCAAGTTTTTCAACTTGGTAAACCACTTATTTTCTTGTACATTTTCTCTTGTTGTCAAACACACATCGCATTCATATACCTCACCTCACGCGAAGGCAGTGCCAACCCTCTCAGTTCACTCTTCTCTATTTTTCACACAATCAGTACATATCATTCATAATACGTACCTAAATCAATTTACAAAATAATAACCAATACTTTTAATTTTTTTGACAAGTTTTGTTCTCTTTTCTCTTAAAAATTCTTACCTGAAACCAAATTATATGTAAAATCTGGGACAACTCCAACCTCCAACCGTGTATTTAAAACTACAATACAGACAGCAAGCCTTGAGTGCTTGACTGTTGTGTTGACCTGTTTATATCATAAGACCACCCCACCTTGAGTGCTTAAATACATGTCGCTTGGTTATCTCTAAAGCTTATCACATTTTTCTGTCCCCTCAACTTCACTGGATGTGAACTGATAATTAATGCCCATATGCTGTTTTCCTTTTTTCTTTTCTCAATCTTTTATTTCTAACCCACACCTAACACTAAATTCCTAAGTGTCAAGTGTGAGTTTGAAATTGTCACAGATTGAGCTCGTTTGATTATCGTATTAAAAATGAATGAATTCACATAGATAAAAGATAAGATTAAATAGAGTATTAAAATAACACGTAATTTTATTTAGTGTTTGGTAATACACAACATAAGTATTGGATAGTAGTTATTTAATCTAATTGATTGCTTGGGTTGGACATTATTTCATAGTATTAATGTTGAATTAAAAAAATATTCTCAGTCAGTGTTTATTACGTTGATGATAGTTTGGTTTTATCAGTTGAGAAGTTACAATAGTAAATATGTACAATAATACATTTGAGATGAATTATAATACCACCTCTCGTGGTGGTATTAAAATACCTATATAATACAGGTCTATAATACTAAAAATATATGATAACTATACGATTAACATAAATTTTTGAAATTAATATAAAATAAATTTATTTATCAAATAAAGTATTAAGTCCGATTAAATAAATAATAGTACAAAGAAAAAACAAACGAGCCTGCACATTCAACAACAAAAAGTTTTGTCTTGAAGAATGAACCTTCCCGTTAGGTTTAAGAACATACGATTAGAACATTATAGCATATCAGAGTCAGTTTGGGTATTGGTGGGAGGAAGGAAATCTTCAAGGGTGCGAGGGTTTTAACTAATGAAGCAGGTCCCAGGAGACGAGGTCATAAACCTGGGGGAAAGTATTTAAAAGCTTGATGGGATAAATGAAACCAATCAGAAGTAAAAATTGCACAACCATTTTATCCGTGTTGGATAGATAATGGTGCCACTTGATTCGTTGTAGGACAACCCGATTTAGCTGCAGTGGAGTGACTCATTAAATGTCCATTGTTTTAGCAGATATTGAGGAGAGTTATGGTTTTCTCTAGGTTCAGCAACTTCTCATTCGAGACATAAAAGTGGTTAGAGGTCATAAACCTTGGGGGTGAAGGTATTTAAAAGTTTGTTGGGGGACAAATGAAACTAATCATAAGTGAAAATTGTACAACCATTTTATCCTTGTTGGACAGATAATGGTGTGACTTGATTCGTTGTAGGACAACCCGATTTAGCTGCAGTGGAGTGACTCATTAAATGTCCATTGTTTTAGCAGATATTGAGGAGAGTTATGATTTTCTCTAAGTTCAGCAACTTCTCATTTGAGACATAAAAGTGGTTAGAGGCCATAAACCTTGGGGGTGAAGGTATTTAAAAGTTTGTTGGGGGATGAATGAAACTAATCAGAAGTGAAAATTGTACAACCATTTTATCCTTGTTGGACAGATAATGGTGTGACTTGATTCGTTGTAGGACAACCTAATTTAGCTCCAGTGGAGTGACTCATTAAATGTCCACTATTTCAGCAAATATTGAGGAGAGTTATGATTTTCTCTAGGTTCAGCAACTTCTCATTTGAGACATAAAAGTGGTTAGAGGTCATAAACCTGGGGGAAAGGTATTTAAAAGTTTGTTGGGGGATGAATGAAACCAATCAGAAGTGAAAATTGTACAACTATTTTATCCCTGTTGGACAGATAATGGTGCCACTTGATTCGTTGTAGGACAACCCGATTTAGCTCCAGTGGTGTGACTCATTAAATGTCCACTGTTTCAACAGATATTGAAGAGAGTTATGATTTTCTCTAGGTTTAACAACTTCTCATTTGAGACATAAAAGTGTTTAGAGGTCATAAACTTGGGGGGAAGGTATTTAAAAGTTTGTTGGGGGACGAATGAAACCAATCAAAACTTCAGAAGTGAAAATTGCACAATCATTTTATCCTTGTTGGACAGATAATGGTGCCACTTGATTTGTTGTAGGACAATCCGATTTAGCTCCAGTGGAGTGACTCATTAAATGTCCATTGTTTCAGCAGATATTGAGGAGAGTTATGATTTTCTCTAGGTTTAGCAACTTCTCATTCGAGACATAAAAGTGGTTAGATCACTTAGAGCCTGGAAGAGATTGAAGTAGTCTTATAGAAGGTACTTAGGGATAAGAAAGGCAGTTTACTTGCTTACTTGTCATTGTAAAGTAGACCAGATGCAGCTTGATTTGGTTAGGAAAGCTTGCCCTGCTTTGGGCCCGGGAAGCGAAGGGAATGATCTTTGCTGCTTCTCCTCTACACTTCTTTTTCTCAGTGCCCTTTTCGCATGGGCACCAGATGAAGAAAGGAACATTGGAAGCTTAATTACCAAGAAAATTGAACTTTGTCAAACAAATAGTGAAGAGATGGAACAATGAGGTTCTTTGGGATCCAAGGGTTACAGGGTGCTTAATCATTAGTAAGATTGTTGTAGTTGATATGTTGACTGACAGTGGGCGATTAGATAAAGAATTCGGAAAATAAGGGTAATTTTGAGAATGAACGCAAAACGCTGGAGTAAAATGAATTAAAGAATGAGATAATAGCTCAAAATTTTTCCATAATGGGTGGAAAAAATGAAATTTGTTGGCAAAATGGAGTTAGAGAGAGATGTCTTCTTGTTTTCAGTTAGTTCCTACAAGTTTTGGAAAAAGTTACACTCACTGTTTTTCTTAGGGCATTTCAATGTTTATTTTATGTTTTTTGCCCCCAAGAAACCTATTTTGAATCTTCAGTTCTAGGTTCACGTGTATATTGTTTTCTAACTTATCCAGGCATCCAATGCAATTCTGATTTTTCCTAACTTTTTGCCTAGGCAAAAGCTACGTACTTGTGTGATGTAGGTTAGTTTTAGAATTCATTTTAGAGAATTTTCTTGTGCGTTCAGAATTTGTTGCATATTGCCAAGTGTATTCAAGGTCATGTATGACTATTTTTTAATGGGGTAAGTGTGATTTCTCTACATTTATGTTATCGCTACATCCATTGGTATTAGAGTCTTGACTAACCTAATGTGATAATTAAGTGGTGGCAATCTTCCCTATGACGGTGCTCAAGCGTAAGTTGCTGTTGCCAGGGCCAAGTTCTTACATTTTCAATCAGGTGCAGAGCCACAAAATTATTTCAGGGTGGGCACTGTATATTTTAACAATTTTAATTTTTTCTTGTAATTGATAAAAATAGAATAATGCATTTATATTTAATTATATCCTATTTAATTCTAAAAAGTTTATTAAACTTAAAAGACTAAAATCTATATAATAAAATAGTTTACAATTTAAATTTTAAAAGATAAATAAAATAAATTTTGTTTTTTACGGTTCAGATCGCTTTAAATTTTACTTTAAAGTTAATATAACGGCTAATATTAACACCTTAAATTTAATAAAAAAAAATAGGGCCCTAAGATTGTGTTTGAATTAACTTTTTAAATATACTTCTAAGAATTATTTCTCATATGTACTTTAAAAAAATAGTGTTTGAAACTGTCCTTTCACTACCTCTACCACCGCCACCACTACCGTCGTCGTTGCCGCCACCATCGCCGTAGTTGCCGCCGCCGCCACCACGATCATTGTCACCCACCACAGCTATCACCGTCTCCTACCACCACCACTGCCGCCTACCACCTCTCACCTCCACTACAACTAATGTTTAAATTCATTTACCTCCTCTATGTTTGTGACTTGATTTTGGATTATTTTTATTATTCTGTGCTTTCAGGCATAAGTAATAACTAGTTTCTAAATATAGTAGATACAAATGACCAAAAAAAAAAATCCTTTTACCAAAACAAAGGCTAATCAAAACTATTTAGAATTGACTTCGATGAATTTTTAAACATTAAAAATCTTGCATTAATTTTATTATTATTTATATCCATAATCATATTATCACTTAATATTTGTCATTTATTCGATTATACAATAAAATATATTCTCTATCATGTCGGTGATAATTACTAAAACAAATGTTAAAATTATAAGTAAACTCATGCATATATCATGCATTTTCTGGTCTAGATTAAAAATTAGGGTGGACACAATTTAATTTATTGAAAAAAATACTTAAAATATATACAAGTAATTTTTTTAAAAAAAAATTGAGGTGTGGCATGTGCCCCCTAGGCATAAGGTGGCTCCGCCCCTGTTTTCGATGTAGGACACAACAAGCCGATCATGATTTTCAGATTTAGTTGTTTGGTTAGCGTTAGGAAGCAATTAGGATGACCATGAGAATGGAATTCATAACAAAGATAGAGCTGGCGTTTGATGTGCTTAAGATCGCAATCCTTTACCCCTTGAAAAGCAACATATTTTATAGTGAAGATGCAAATGATGGTGATGAAAAATGCTACAAGCTATGTTTGGTAGTTAAAATTATATTAGAGGATATAGATGCCGTAGTTTCGAGTCTTAGAATCTTCCTACGACAATTGACCTACAAGTTTCCATGGTTTGCCTTAAGAGGATATACTGATGTATAAACTGTAGGGTGGTGGGAACATGTGGAATTAGGACATGCAAGGCAACAAAAATTTATAATTTGTTTTTGTCTTGAAGTTACTGACGAGGTTTTTACCTGCAAATTATGATGCAGATGAAGACGTATGATATGAATGTAAAGTGCATATCGATCAGTGAAACGATAAAAATTATGATTCAGATGATAAAAATACGACTGACCAAATATCAAATAACTCAAATGATAGGAATCATTAAAAGCGGAATCATCAATCAAATTAGATATACCACATGGTTCAATTGCTATCCAATATAGTCTTATATTTGGTTTATCTTGATGACATGATAATTGACATTTGAATATATAAATCCATACTCATATTGAATAATCACACCTCAGGATCACAATTATATTTCACAAACTATGCATTAAACACACTTCGTACATATATCAATCAAGTCAAAAATATTTAACCAAAAAATACAGTTCAGATCAACAAAATAAAATAGCAATTAGAAATACAAGTTTTAAGATAAACAATAGAACATTCTTTATAAAAAAATTTAAAAACAGGAGCATATTGTATACAACCTCGTATCTCAAATCACCAAGGGATACCGATAAATTTGATCTCCACTATATTAAGAACAACATATCTCAATTTCATAGAATTTGTGACTAAAGTCACCATCTCATTTTGAACCAAAATCACGTTATTTTTTTCCTTCTTTGTCTCTCTCTCTCTCTTTGTTTTCCATTTATTCTCTCTATCTCTCTCCTTCCTTCCTTTTCCGATGGTTTTAACACAAAACGTTTTTCACTTGTATGTAATTGCATTCATTCACATGTAACACTTGTCACCTTATCCCTTATGAAGCTGACACCTTTTTTATTTATTTAAGTGACATACACTTTTACGTAATGTGCGTGATTCAGACACGTTAGACATTTGATATGATCTTTTTATTTAAATATAAAATATGAATCATTTGACTCAGTTTTATGTAAGAAATTTATATTTAAAGACCATTTATTTATTTGAAATGTCTAAATATAACTCTTGATAACATAAAATAATAATTAGTGCTCTAATTTACGGGTTAATGATTAATTTTATTATGAGTCGTCATAGTGCCCCTTAAAAATGATCAAGAGGAACAAGTGGAGAAAATTATTAAATACAACATTATTGATTTTACTGAGGAAGTAACATATTCAAGAAGAATAACTTGATGTTGAAATAAGTCAACTAGTGGAAATTCAAAATGATAAACGATTTATAGATTATTCTGGAAAGCTCGAGTCAACATTGCAATTTAAGTAAATTTTTCTCCCTAGAATTCTCTCTCTCTAGGAACAGCAAGAAGTAAGGAAAAGAGAAACTGTCTCCTACCAGATCGCACAACGAAACTATGGATCTAATAATAGAAGAATATGCTATGGAAACTCGAGAAATCTTTGGAGGAGGAGGAAAATCTCCAAAGAAGCACAAAGAAAATCAAAGGAAATCTCCCTGAACTAGGTGAAGACCAAATAATGGAAGAAAATACTAAAATCGAAACCCATACTGACCAAACGCAAATACAACAAAACCAAAAGCCAAAAATTACAGTGCAGCCTTGATGGATGACAACAATGCTATCTACTTCGATCCAACAACTTAAGTTGAGGCTACCGAGGAAGCACAATTATGCCAAGACAAAATACTGAAAGTGGGGACTCCATTAACTCATAAAAAGAATTACAGAGTATCTGCAACAGAGCAAAAGTTGATTGTCAAGCTGTTAGGAAGGAATACAAGCTATAAAATAGTGTACATCAGGGTGAGAAACATATGGGGCCTCCAAGGAGATTTTGAAGTAGTAGATTTAGAAAATGGATTTTACCTATTCAAATTTCAATGTAAAGATGGTTGCTTTAAAGTTTTCATAGGTGGCCATTGGTTTATTATGAATCACTATTGATGATGTGTGTATTGCACAATTGAGTAGAGCTGCAATCTTTAGGGATTGGAGAGTCACTGGATGGCTTAGTCAGAGTTATGTGGCTATTAAGAATTGGACAAGGGTGATGGGGAATTATAGACAGAGAAATTATAGTGGTTCATCAGTTCGGGAGTTCGGCTAATCAAATCTCAATGGAGCCTCTTACTCCTGGGGAAGATTTTATTGATAAAATGGGAGATTACACCGGGTATTAACTTAGGCTAAAATTGCTTGTTCTCCATTGTGAGGGATATGCCTCTTATGTATAGTATCCCAGGGCTCCATTTGATTTCCCGGCATGATCCTTGCCTCCTATTCGTAACGGTTGCATTTATTATGCAACTGCCATGGATGGTGCCTTAGTAGTTGCAACTTTCTCGCCTAAGTGTGGGACAGTTGCGCTTTATGTGTAACGCTTTGCCAGCTTCCAACTATCATCCGGTCATCCTTGCTGTTACCTTAGTGGCATTGTTGCTAGGGAAGACTGGTCTGAGTAGCCTGACCGCTTGCCACGAGCTGTGCAATATGAACTCAGATAAACCGAGCTGAACTCTCGATCTCAACCTTAGCCATATTTTGAGTATCATCAGATGCCCCTTAGTCCCCAACCATGTAGATTACTTGAGTTGGGGCTAATCTCTGACTTTGAGTGAGTTCAGCTCGGTTTGTTGGTTGACCTGCCTTATGGTCAGCTTAGTTTGCCCTTGGGATTCACACGATGGGTCCTTTCTCAATTTTTATGGTGTTGCAAGTGTGCGTGGAGTTACTTTCACCTCGTTTCTCGTGCACATCCATCATTTCTGGCTCCACCTGTTTGCCTGCATATTTGTCTTAAATGTATCTGTAGGCTGAACCACCTTTTCCCATTACTTTCGA